TCCTGGACGATCCTGGAGCAAATTTTTGATATTACATGCTAGGTGGCTCCTCTTCATTCAGCGGTTCTCTTTCACCTTCCAGCACAAGCCAGGAGTTAACAACCGTGTAGCCGACGCTCTCAGTAGAAAAAATTCATTACTATCATGTCTGCAAACCGAATTAACTGGCCTTGAGTGCCTTAAGGAGCTGTATGAAACAGATCCTGATTTCAAAGATGCTTGGGAATCTTGCCAACAGCAACAGCCAACCGAAGGTTACTCCATGAGACATGAGTTCTTATTTAAACAGAACTTGCTGTGCATCCCTGTGTCATCATGGCATCAATTTTTGATTAGGGAAGCTCACGGAGGCGGCCTAGCTGCACACTTGGGACGCGACAAGACCTGAAGCTGGTACACTCTCGTTTTTTTTTTTGTCGAGACTGAGACGTGATGTCTTTCGCTTGGTTGATAGTTGCCCCATTTGCCAAATGTACAAGGGAGGATCCCAAAATACCGATCTTTATATGCCCCTGCCTGTTCCCGACTCGATCTGGGAAGACCTAAGTTTGGATTTTGTTTTGGGATTACCCAAAACTCGTCGAGGCAATGATTCAATTCTGGTTGTGGTCGACAGATTCTCCAAGATGGCTCATTTTCTTCCATGTAAGAAAACTTCAAATGCTATGAATATTGCGCATCTTTTCTTTAACGAGATTGTACGTCTACATGGTGTCCCTAGAAGCCTCACTTCCGATCGTGATGTAAAGTTTATAAGTCATTTTTGGCGTGAACTTTGGAAGCATTTGGGCACCGACATCCGCCTCAGTTCGGCATACCATCCCTAATCAGATGGACAAACAGTGGTCGTCAACCGCACCTTAGGCAACATGCTGCGTTGTCTCGTGCAGGACCATCCGAAACCGTGGGAAGACATGCTTACAAGAGCTGAATTTGCTTTCAACTCAATGACCAACCGTTCAACAAGTAAATCTCCTTTCAATATAGTATATACTAAAGCTCCAAACTTAGCTCTAGATGTAGCCATCTTGCCCAAATGCAAAGCTCCTGCTGCTGCCACCTTCACGGAGAATTATTCGGAAATGCTATCGGAGGTTCGACAACAGATTATCAAGGCTAATCAACATTATAAAGAGACTGTTGATCGTCGTCGACGCCAGCGACTCTTCAATGTTGGCGATTTAGTCATGGTACGACTACGCAAAGAAAGGTTCCCACCCGGAACCCATTCTAAACTTATGCGCCGAAAGGTTGGACCAATACCTATTGTTGCTAAGATCAACGACAACGCTTATACTGTTGCCTTACCAGCCGATTTGAATATGTCTCCAACCTTCAACGTCTCCGACATTTGGGCCTATTCCTCACCTGTTGATGCTATCGTTGCCATAAGCTCGTCGGAGTCGAGCTCTTCTGAAGCCGGGGAAGACTGATGCAGCAGCGCATGCGAGCTCTGAAGGAACGCGGGACATCTTACACACCTCTAACGGTTTTCTGATAGCCATGATGCTTTACTCCTTTTAGTTACCACTTATCACTAGTTTTTTTTTAGTACTGCCTTTTCATTTACAGTAATTTTAATTTAGCATCCCATACGGTAGAAAAAGCCGGATACGGGGCGTAGAGAGGGGGTTGTTCATTTTGATACTTTCTCTACAGAAGTTAGAAATACAGTCTCCTGAATAAACAGGTTACTGTTCATCTCCGGCGTGGATTGTTTTTGTGCTTGCTCTGTTTTCTTCTTGCAGGTGCCGATATTTTGACGTGAATTGCTTATTGCAACAAACTCCATGGATATTTTTATACAAATCAAACATAAGGTCATATTTTTTTCAGAAATTGAAATATTGAATATTATGAAGCTTATAAGACCTTTTTTTTTTAATAAAATCTCAGACTTTTATTTTTAGTCAAATTTAAATCAGAAAAATTCTGAACATTGCTTGTCCCTGGTAAATTCTAGAGCAGAGTTTTCGGTCCATTTACTCCATCTCCAACCAGGCCTCAATCCAGGAAAAACTAATACATGATTTTTTTTTCTCTGTTTTGTATGGTAAATTATTATGTCCGGTCACCGGATCTATTTCTAGGTCCGGACATCCACTAAAAATTCGTCACGTAGAATATATGCGTGTCCGCAGAAATTTAAGTCAAGTGCATCAAAAGCGTAGGTAAAGTGCAGTCAAAAGTGCACCTAAAATACACTCAAAACGCACCTAGCACATGATAAGTTTTGTTGGATGTCCGGATCTATTTTAGGTCCGGTCAAATTCTAGAGCAGAGTTTTCGGTCCATTTACTACATCTCCAACCCGGCCTCAATCAAGGAAAAACTATTACATGATTTTTTCCCTCTATTTTGTATGGTAAATTATTATGTCCGGTCACCGGATCTATTTTTAGGTCCGGACATCCACTAAAAATTCGCCACGTAGAATGTATGTGTGTCCGCAGAAATTTAAGTCAAGCGCGTCAAAAGCACAGGTAAAGTGCAGTCAAAAGCGCACCTAAAGTACACTCAAAACACACCTAGCACGTGATAAGTTTTGTTGGATGTCCGGAACTATTTTTAGGTCCAGTGACCGGACCTAATAATTTTTTATTTTGTAAACGGTGTGTGACTGGAGAGATTATTAGGTGCGGAGTGCAGACGGGGAGAGCACCGTCTGCACTCTACGCACCTAATAATTATTCGTGTGACTGCGTCCAGAGTCCAGACCCTGCTCAGCTACAATACAACGGCTCGTCACGAGTGAGACAGGACAACAAGCAACTTCTTCTCGCTCCATCACGCCTTTTATCCCATGCCCTTCACAAAATCAACGTCCTTTCTCTATAAACAAACCAAAACCCATCCGACTCCTCACCCTCTCCAGCTCCAGATGGACTTCAATAGAAGAGAATTCCTCTTATCAGCTCCCGCCATCTTCCTTCTCCTTTCCCTTTTCCTCTCCTCCGCCGAAGCCCTCAACATCGGCATCGATCCCTCCACCGGAGACGCCGTGGTCTTCATCTCAAAACACAACTCATATGCTATCTTCCTTTCTCCTTACCGTTTCATCTCTCCACTTAACACTGGGTTGATTTTCTATGAAATTTGAAACAGAGCAAGCAGGAATGCAGCAGGAATTGCGAGTCGGAGCACTGCGCAGGTTTGCTTTACATAAGTCCGACCTCAAAAGGTTTCACCTTTCCTTGTTTATGCTCATAATTTTCGCTGAAAGTTTCAACTTTGATCCAAAGTGCCGCTGTTCTTAAGATATGGAAAGTACTGTGGGATTATGTACAGTGGATGCCCAGGGGAGAAACCCTGCGACGGGCTCGACGCCTGCTGCATGCATCATGACGCCTGTGTTCAAGCTAGGAACAGTTCGGTTTCAATCCTTGATTGCTTTCTGTTACTCGATTCTTCTTCTTCCATTCCTAAAAGTTCAAATTTTTCTTGATTAATTTCTCTTATAGATGACTATTTGAGCCAGAAGTGCAGCCAAGATTTATTAGATTGCATTGCAAGATTCAAGGAACAGAATTCGCCATCGTTTAAGGGGAACAAATGCATGGTGCAGGAGGTGGCGGATGTGATCACGCTGGTCATAGAAGCGGCGCTGCTGGCCGGCCGAGCTCTCCATAAACCCTAAATTGGCTGTAAGAGATAAAGAAGATAATGTTTCTTTCTTCTGTTCTCAGTGTTTTGAGAAGAGCACATGGGCTTCAATAATTGAGAGTGCTCAGCAGACGAACTGTACGGTGGCTTATTTATTATCTTATTCATTCACGCAATTTCCTTCATTGGAGTGAGCTGGGATTTGTGCCTTTGGAGATACATATCGTCGGCATAAATTAGTTATATTGTTTAATTTGTTTAATACAATAATTTATCACCATTAATATCAGAGTAAACGTAACAGACTATTAATTTAAACTATATGGAATATTTTAAGGTAAACTTGCCTAAAATTTAAGGTTCTTTGTCTTGTTGAATCGCTAAGTAAAGAAAAACGCTTTGTCAAAGAATTTAGCTTATGGTATACGATCTGCTATTGTGCTGATAAGAATTATTCTTTAAACAAATTTCTGTTAATAATATATTATAAGCTAAGGAAGATATTTTCTGAAGAAATTTCTCCAAGCTGAATACCGTAAAAGATTATTTTTTATGAGGGGAGGATGAGCAAGAATGGGGAAAGTAGAATAAAACCTTTAATGAACTTTCTCACACAACTTGTTTCTTGGATCCTGCTATGTGTAATAGAAAGAAAAAACTAGTTAAACACTATATGGTAATGCTTACAGAAAAGGCCTGCAGCTAAAATAAAATAGAAGAGATGAGTGACAAACAGGAGAATGTAAAAAGCTCCCATTTCTATTATTTCCCCCATCAAGATTGCTTGTAGATATTTGTAACGGTCACTGTGAATGTGCGGACTAAGGGAAAAATTATTCTATGTGGTCAACGGTGTTCAATGGCGAATGAGAACGAGTCGCGTCATTTTTTGTTGTGTACCGTTCGGTATCGGATGATGTGGCACGTTTTTATTCACCTATGGACCGTTGGGTGACTTCACAGAATAATTTCTCGGACAAAGGAGTTGTTGGCAGCGGTTTGGTTAATCATTCAGCAAGTTGTTGGTGTGCAGAACAGATCACCAGATTGGCATAAGTTAGAGAGAATCATGAGCAACTTTGTCATGGATAAAAAGCAAGAGTGGTGGCAATGTAAATGACTCAATATAAAGACAATATTGCTGATAATATGAATAGCAGACTGATTATCACAAAGAATAAGAGCTGGATCAAGTGTTTGGAAGCTGAAATCCTTCAATGATTACAACAACAACATCAAGTTTTTGTCCCACTATGAGAGGTCGACTAAATGAATCTTTTTTCTCCATTGTGTCCTATTAAAAGTCAAATTCTTATTTAAATCTAATAAAGAAATATCATTTCTAATATTTTATAACCAAGTCTTTTTAGGTCTACCTTTACCTTTCTTAACATAAGTCAAATCTAATACCTCAACTTTTCTAATCGGATCATCGGAAGACCGTCGTTTTATGTGACCAAATCAACTAAGGCAACTCTCTCTAATATTATCTTCCACTGAAGCTACTCCAACCTTTTTACGTATATACTCATTTCATATCCTATCTGTAAGGATAAAGCCACTCATCCACCTGAGCATCCTCATCTCTGCAACACTTAACTTAGTATTATTCCTTTCTTTTAATGGCCAATATCAGGCACCATAAAGCATTGTAGGTCTCACCACCATCTTATAGAATTTTCCCTTAAGTTTGAGGGGGATTTTTCTATCACACAAAAAGTCCGTGCATTCCTCCACTTCAACCATCGAACTTGAATTCTGCTGATAATATCCTCATCTATTTCACCGTCACTATGAACAATAGATACAATATATCTAAAATGTGTACTCTTATTAATGACTTGATCGCCCAAAATCACAACTCGCTCACTAGGTCTATTACTACTAAAATTACACTTCATGGAGCAAAATTAATTCACGGTGGTTGCTAAGGCTAAGGCGCTATAGACAGCTTCAACATAAGATTTGCATACAGTATTTTGCTTGTTTGATTTCCAAGAAACGAGAGAGTCTTATAAGAACATACAAACACCAGTAATAGATTTTTCGGACTTGTGAACAAGAAGCTCAATTAGCATCACTAAAAGTTTTAAGTTGTTGAGAAAACTTGATGAGAAAAACAGTCATTGTCTTGGTGTGGATTTAAGTGTTCGTTTGGGACTGCTTTCTTTCTATTTCTTAAAGCAGTTTTTTAGTACAATTTTTTTTTTTACAAAACTAAAAATTTGTATACAAAAAAGCTGCTTTAAGAAACAAAAAGAAATCCATCCCAAACGAAGCCCAAGTCATCGAAGATGAAAGCGTGCAACATCCAAATGTTTTGTTCTCGGTTTGGCTAGGTATTGACTTAGGCTGCATTTGGGATAGCTTATTTAATGTTTTTTAAAATAATTTTTTATTGTAAAATTATTTTAGGCTTTGTTTCGGACGGCTTTCTTACTTCTTATAGCATCTTTCCAGTAAAAAATTTTAATGTTTGTACTAAAATGCTGTTTTAAGAAGCATTAAAAAAATCATCCCAAATAAAATTTTAGAAATAAATAAAAAAATTGTCGCAAATGAACCTTAACTTATATCAGTGAAAGAAATACCTGATCTATATAAAGTGAGGTATAATAATTAGCCAATCAGTCAACTATATTAAAAGAAATACCAGTAAGCAGATCACCATTGGTTCCATTAAGCTGGTTTCGAGGTTCTATAGGCATGGTAATCAGTTTACAGACAAGAAAACCAGATTCTTCAAGCAATTGCAAGCTATAATCTGGTTGGGAAAGAATAATAACACCATTTGAACATGCAATTTTGAGATCAAGAGAATATTTAAGATATCTCAAACCCTTAAGTTTGGAAAGAGAGTGAAGATATAGTATCATCCATATAAACAAATAGTACAACAAATTTAGACCTATTTCTTTTAGTAAATAAAGAATAATATGATTTTGGCAGAATGAAAACAAATAGGATATTTTTCTTCTGCCAAAGGAATGATAGTCCAAGTTTTATTATTGTCTAAGGCTTCGTTTGAGACAGTTTTCAAGAGAATTTTATATTAAAAAATAGCTTTACAAAGCAATAAGAAAACCGTCCCAAACGAAGCCTAAACCATGAAGTCAGCTTTCATAGCCTCCGACATTCAGGAAAATAAATAGCTTGATAATAAATCTTATGTTTGAAATGTGAAGATATATTGAGAATAAAATTTTCATGAGAATCAAAGAAAACATTATCAGAAATATAATTATATATATCATGCTTGACATTAGGAGAAACTATAGTATTCATATGTAACAAAGAATTGAAAAATCCATGAGACAGAAGCAAATTGATTGGGATCAGATCATCTTTAGTGTTGTTAGGTTCATCTTGTTAATACATTCGGTTTGAATATAAGTTTGTTAAAATAGTAGTTTAAATGGTTATAAATATAACTATTGTGTACTAAAAAATTTGTAATGATGAAAAGTACTTTATATCTTAGTCTTGTACAAAAATTCAATATATGTATTGATAAAAGAGATGCAAGTGGCATTGTAGTTTTATGTGAAAAACTTAATGGTGATTATACTTCAAGCTTGTAGAAGTCTACTGTTCTCCACAATAATATAAAACATGATTACAAAATTGAGAGCACTTATTTGATCTTCTATGATAGAAATTATTGGAGAAAAAAATGAAATAATGATGATGACAGTATAACGATGTTAATTAGAGAAATAATGATTGTACGATGACGTTCCAGTAATGGTGATTGGGTGGCAATAGACAATAGTCATATGACGATATTGGAATGATGAATGAATTATAATGGTCGAACATTGATAGTCAAACAACAATGATGGTTGGATCATGGAAGATGGGCGGCAATGATTTGATGATGGTGGTCCAGTAATGGTAGTGGCTAATGGTGATCATTGATGTCGAGAGTTAGGTAAAGCTCTAAACTCTTTTAGGTCTTCATGCTCTCTTCATTCTCAGTTTTAGATCTGTGTCCAAAGCTCTAAGCTCCAAGTCCCTTTTATGTGTAGAATGAGATCTATTTATAGTATCTTTAGAGTGCCATTTTAATAAATTTGATCAAAAATTCATAATACTCCATTAGACGGCCTCTATTGAATCATTTGATCATCGATCATTAGTTCAATACTTCAATGCCTTTATGACCTAAGAATTATAAGATTTTGGACTCATTAAATTCATATCATTGAGTTGTTCAATTAAACTACAAATATTTAAGATTTAGAAAAAAAATTATCCTTCAATTAATATTCTTAAGTTTTCAGCTATACTTCATAGTAAAAAAACTATCTCAAAAGAAGCCTTAACCTCTCTCTCTATATCTATAAAGGCTGTTTTCCTCCCAGGATCGTCCGGGACGAAGTGGATCGTCCCGGGACGATCTGTACAGATTGTGAAGAAATCTGCATGTTCGTCTGTACGAACCTGGAACAATCGGGACGAACCGTCGGGATGAACTGAACCCGAGAGTTTCGTCCCAGGACGACGAAATTGGCATTTAATTTCATCTGGACGATCTGGTCCACGATCTGGTCCAGAGGAGATCGTCCCGGGACGATCGGGAACATCGTCTGGGACGATCCTGCTTAATAAATATCCGATTTAAGTCTTTTTGAAGAGAGAGAAAGTCCAAGATAGAGAAAACCGAAGGGAAAAGAAGAAAAGTGGATTTTTGGACGACTTCCGTCCGTTTTCGTCCGTCGCCGTAGTTGGAGAAGTTGACCGACTCGAGGTAAGGCATATTTCGTCTTTCTCAATTTTCAGAAACGAGAATTTTGATGACTTTTCTGTTCCGGATTTTGTTTCCGTTAGCGAATTTCTGGTATTATTTTCTTCTGACAAAGGTTTTACTGCGTAACTTTTGGTATGTTTTTGAGATGATAATTGTGCACATTTTGAGTATGTTCTGGAAGATTTTTACCGAGTATTTTGAATTCTGCTGAGTTTTATTCGAATAATAATTTATCTGGATGTCTAATATTATTACTTTAGTACAGTAAAAGTCTTATAATATTGTTGTGGATATTCTGTGATAATTTGGTAAATTTCTGAATCTGTGATTTTTGTGTAAATTCCGTATACTGTCGTCATGCCGCTGATTTTTCGTACGAATTCTGCTTTTTCTAAATTGATACATTAAATGAATTGAAGTGTTTGTATGCTATCA